GTTTCATTTCAAATTGAAATTTTCCATTTCTTAATAACCAGAACATCTTTAAAAAATCAAACGTTTGGATTTCTCTGTCTCCCACTTTCTCTCTCTTTTCTCCTTTTTTGCCACTGAATGCAGTAGATTGACGGAGTGATGTCTAGGGTTTGTTTGCTTGTTTATTTTTTTCCCCATTTTTTTTTCTGCACTCTGTAACTTTGCAAAACTTTTTGGGAAAAGTTAGAAAGACCAAAAAGGAAAGAAATGTAACAATGTAAAAAGGAGAAAACTGACAGAAAGCGTGAGAAAACCAAAACTCAGAAAAAAAGGAAAAAGCAAAAATTGAATGTTGTGGTGCCTGAAACCTCAGATTGAAAAATGTTCTTTACAAATTGAACAAATTCATTTTATTTCATTCTGATTTTTTTCCATGAAAAAATCAAAACATTTAAAATGAAATGTATTTGTTCACAATTTCCTATAGGAGAAAAATGGGGAGTTTGACCAACTCTGATCTTCAGTCTCTTTTAAAGCTTTCTTATATACACTTTATAATCCAACTGACCCCAAATAAGTAATAAGGGTTTTTTTTTCATTTGTTTGTTTTCCCAATTTCTTCCCCCTTTAAACTCCAAAGACAACAGCCAATTACGAGCAGAGCAATGCTGTTAATCCTGTGAAATATGCATCTTCTCCTCTGAAGCACCTCCAGTTAAACACAAGACAAGAAGAAAAATTCACAAGCCTCTTTTTATTCCTTTTTTTTTCTTTTCACCAACTGCCTGCCCATCCCATGCACATGTAGTAGCCTAGTATATTTTACACCAAGATATACTTTCTGATGCAATAATCTATTGTTAAGAGTGAAAGTCCATTTTGTATTTGAGAGCTCTAAAGACATGTCTAGTTCTACCATCCCCACAGATCCCTCAGAGCAGATTCCTGGCTTAAGGCTCCAATAGCAAAAGGAGAGTGGTTTTGGTTACAACTTTCCTCTTTTGAAAAAAATAAAATAAAATAGTGAGTTCCTACCTCCCCTTAGCATTACAACACTAAATCAAACGTTATTTGACAAGGAGATTAGCATCTATTACTCTCATCTACACACTCGGCATGATCCAATTAATACAGATAAATGTTAGTCCAAACTCTGTATTTGCACAAAACTTCTTCTGATTATATGCTACTGTTTTATGAATGAATTGCAATTTTTTCATAGCTTCAGTTATGAAAACATCCCTGCAGTGCATCTAAACTTTAATCTCAGTCATTCCAGTTATTCATAAACAAGAAGTAACTTTTAAAAATCCCAAATCTACAGTAAATATAAGAAACATATTTTAAAACTCACTTATCTGGATTATAAATTATATTCACACACAGCAGATTTGTGTACACACCTCAGAACTCTCTCAGCAGGCACAAATAAGCTCACCAAAATCCATTGGACTATAAAAAGCAGGTGTGGGCAAAAGGCAAATGTCTGAAGAAGCACTCAGGAAACGTGTGAGGGAGGGGACTGGAGGTAAATGAAGGAAAATGCCATCGGAGAGAGAGAGAGAGAGTGTAGATTGCATCCTACCCCCTCCTGGTTCCCAGAATCCACAGATCCCCAAGATTTGTACACAGGTGTACGTTACTACACGATGTACAGGGCAATGATGAATTGTCTTAATGCACAACCTCCCCCATAAGGATAAGGATGAGTGAGCCCTCAGAGATGGTTAAGCCTTGGCTCTGCAACCATGGAAATGTCCCAGCATCTAGGGGGCCCTCCCATAGATCTGTTTGAGTGGCAGTACTCCCTCACACTCTTGTCTCAGGGCTTCCAGTGTCCTTATTCCCCTTATCTCAGGGGGCAGGGAGAGCTGCTCACAGCTGCCTGGTATGATAGCCGGGCCCTCCCTCTCCAGCAGGCTCCAACCCAGAGCTCTAGGAGTTGAAGTAACACCAAGGAGTGCCCTGAGGCTGCTTCCCTGAACCACTTCCCACCTTTTACTTTCCAAGTCCAGGGTGCAGTCAAAGTGTCACTAACTATCCAGCAAAAGATGGAGGGAAGGGTTCCCTAATCCTTAAAGACAAACTAGTCCCTCAGCAGGGACTCCCGCTATACCCTTACTCAGGTAAGGCTACGTGCACATCTGCAAATTCCTACATTTCAAGGCCATAAGGGTTTATGGAGATCATCTACTCTGATCGGCATGAAAGCCCAGAGGACCTCTCCCAGCAATGTTTGCATCAAGCTGATAACTTCTGGTGGAGCTGTAGCATCTCTTTGAGAAAGACATCCAGTCTCATTTTAGTGATGGAAAAATCATCACATTCCTAGGTAATTTATTCCAAGTGTTAACTACCCTCACTGTTAAAAACATGCACCTTATTTCTATTCTGAATTTGTCCTTCTTCAGATTCCAGGCTATAGATCTCATGATTTTTTAATCCTAAATTAAGGAGCCCTCTACTATCAGAAATCTTATTCTCATGTATATACTTGAAGACTGTGATCAAGTCATATTTTCCCATCTACTGGCCTCTGTACCAGTTAGCAGATGGGACAATATGATGTAGAGAATGTTTTATAATAATAATTCTGTAATTACTGCAGCTAATACAGACATTAGTGTGCTGTCTATTAAGTAGGATTTTATGCCAGAAGCACCTGTGTTCTGTGACCTAACAGCCTGCCATTTGATTTCTAAGATAAATTTAACATGTACATTTTGAGTTGGATTTTTTTCTGGCTCATGCATCAGCAACAGAACTATTATCTGAATTTTGAGTGAAAATATTTGTTGCCAATGATTCATGAAACAGCAAGATCCCAGCTTGACTTTCAGAGTTCATGCTGAGTTTGCAGAGCACCTGGTTACTTGTAGACAGAAGACATTTGCACTAGTCAGTGAGAGATATTAAATACGGAGTCTGGCCATTTTTAAAGAGTCATTTCTCAGACTTTGAACCTGTATTTCATACAAGGGCTTTATAATAGGCCTTGACAATGAATAAGGGTTGCAGAATCAGATAATATCTTGGCATTAAATTCTGTTACGGGGAGGAGGCTGTATTGGTAGAGAAGGTTATATATTGCTGGACATCATCTTTAGTTAACCATTTAATGGACAGTGCTGCAAGATACTGTGATTCTTCATTCTCATCAATTAGACAGCAGAATCGGACTCCCAAAGGGGGCAAATAGTCATCTGTTGTTCAGATTTTGCTTATCTTTTATTACATTCAGGATGGTCAGCAATAGGATTACATGACAGTTGGAAATATTTCAAGCAAGTATAGTAAAGCCCTAGATTTATATAAAATCCCATTATAAGTGAGACATCCTGGTGGACATTGCATTTATTCCCCTAATTAACCAGCTGTCCAGAACAACAATGGGCCATTTATGAAAACAGCTGTCAGAATAAGCTATTAAGAAATGAAACACTGATTTATTTTAATTTTTTTTTATTTTATCAGTTTGCTTCTTCAAGACAAAAAATGTCAAATTTCACAACATGTAAAATAACTCATTTCTTCTTAGCAGTGGGTGAATGCATCCTCTTCAGCAGAATTTTTGGTACTTGTGTCTCTATTAAGCAGAATTTATCCCTATATAACCCTTCCAGGATGCACATGCTCCCTGCTAGAGCTTCTAATACAGCAACCAACCTGGTTTAAAATCACTCCAATTAAATGGACTAAACTGTTTCAGCTATCGTTAAATTTGGTTCTTTCTCGTATTTTCTTTTAATACACTTTGTTGGGAAAGGATTGGTATCAGATGGAAATCTTTATTTTAAGGCACAGAAAGGAAAGAGCAGTCATGAAAGCTGGGATTTTGATGGGGATCCTATGGAAATTTGGTACCCAATTCAATGTGATTTGGATGCCTAAATCCCTTAAGTACCTTTGGAAACCCCTGTCTAATCCATTCCTCCTGAAATGCAAATACAGGTCTAGATGCTGAACTCTATTTTGCTGCTAAGCGAGGAGGGGAGGTTAGGGTCTCTTCTTTCCCACCAAGTCTTGATTATGTAATGCACACATGTATAGACGGGGGAAATGCAGGGCTGCAAAATTCCAGAGGGAATGCTGGGAGAAGGGCTGACCAATCATCAAAAACCCAAAGATTTCCCAGTTTGTGGCCAAAAATATTCATCCGTCAGCAGCTTTTGGCTAAAATATTCATTTTTCAGAATTTTGATAGTTTGGTCAAAAAATCAAATGTTTTCTGCTAAAACAATTACCAGAAATTATATGGTTTTTTTTTAATTTTCAGTCATTTTCTGCTGAAGGGGGCAGATTGCCTCCGAGGACTCCCTGGTGCTCAGGGGTCTAGCACTCCAAACTACACTCCTACACGGGGTGCAGCCTATTCCCCTCTGAATGACAGAACACATTCTGGGTTGAAAAGGGCCAGAACCATGGCAGGGGTAGAACCACCGCTGTGAAGATAGTGCTCAGTTTTGAATGGCTGTAGTAGTGCTGAGCAAATTATGCACAGAAGGTAACATATTTGAATCTTTTTCTGTTGGTGAATTATCTGTGAGCATTTCTCTCTTTTCACAAACATATTCACTATTCAGAGTTATTTTCCAAATAATTGCAACAAAACAATTCTTGGCTGGGAGCTATTCAATGTGAGTAACTGACATTTGATATTTGAGCTGCCCTGGTTAGAATTGTTTGGATGGATAAGAATTCTGTCTTGATTGGGTCCCGGGTTCAGCAAACCATCCATATTCGGCAAAGCACTAGGGTTCATTAAAGTCTAAGGAACTTAAGTATAATCTTAAACTTTGCTGAAGAGGGATGGCCTTTGCTACATTGTGTCCTAGATGATCATATCATTTGGCATCAGGTTTCTGGTGTGAATATTTGCATTTACTCATTCAAAATTTGCTTTCCACCAATATTCTGTCATCTTTGCTTACACTTTATCATTTCCACGAACATTGCTGATAGTAAATTAGTTCACTAGATACCTGATGAAAAGGAACACAAAATGGACAAAAGCACAGCCCTCCTTTATTCATTTTTTTTATTCAAGTCAATATTTACTGAAAAATTATTGGTCCATTTGACCAGTCGTAGTTTTTACTCAGGTCATTTCATTGGCAACTTGCCCGGGTCAGGGGCTATGAAGTATCTGTTTCAGCCTTTAGGCCATCTTCAAAAATATCAAAATTGTACCATTCCCCCTTTCTCTCTCTCTCTTTCTCTCAGATTCTATATTAACTAATTAAACCCTTCCCTTTCTTCTATAGTGGTTCAAGTTTCGTGGCTCCTCGGAGTGAATTTAAAATTCCCATAACTATTAGATCTGATGTTTGATTTCAGAGAGAAGTTAAGGGGCTGGGGACACTGACAGGGCGTATTCCTAGGTATTGTTTATCATTGCCAGGATTGAAGAATGGGTACAATTTTCCTTTAAACTCTTGAGTGATGGACACAACAGGGCACATTAGCTCTACATTGTAGAATGAGATCATTCCCTCTTCCCAATCCAGAAAAATGCCAACCACTTGGCATTTTTTATCCTCAGAGGTGATAGTGTCACTTTTCCAACTACAATGATATTGATCCTCAGACAGCCGTAAACTCCAGTATTCCTTCTCAGGAGGTTTCTCCATCTTCTCATTTTTCAGTTTCTCCCTTTCATTCTGCGTCAGCACCCCTAGCTCCCACTCTAGCTTGTCCCCCACCTCCACCTCCCAGTATTGTTTCTTCTCTGAAAATCCTTCATTTGCCACCACTATCAAATCCCTGACGGCTTTCTTCTCTGCCGTGGAAACGACCCTATTTTTATCCTTGAGTGAGAGTTTGGGATGTTTGCAGTCAGAATCCAGAGTGATGTTAACTGGAGGGAAGAATAAAAATGTTCATTTCATCAGTAACTAGAGACTTATTAACTCTTACTGAAATAAACAAACAAATATCAAAGCTGGTGAAGAAAATTAAAGACAAAGTAGAGAGACAAACAAAATATTAAATATCTCAGCAAAATGCACCACAACTGCTCAGAACAAGAGCATATGTAATATATGTATTAATATATGTAATAGCGAGGGCACATACACCCCTGGCTAGTTATAGCTTGAATTAACTAACACTCCTGGCCCAAATCATCTCCTCCTATGGTAAAAGCCATGAGCATGGAGTAAAGAAATCTCTGATCTCATAAGAACAGTTATAATGGTCAGACCAATGGTCCATCTAGCCCAGTATCATGTCTTCTGACAGTCGCCAATGCCAGATGCTTCAGAGGGAATGAACAGAACAGGGCAATTTTGAGTGATCCATCCTCTGTCATCAAGTCTCAGCATCTGGCAGGTGGAGGTTTAGGGACACCCAGAGCATAGGGTTCCATTCCTGACCATCTTGACTAATAGTCATTGATGAACCTATCTTCCATGAACTTACCTAGCTCTTTTTTGAACCTTGTTATAGTTTTGGCATTTACAACATCCTCTGGCAATGAGTTTCACGGATTGACTGTGCATTATGTATAAAGAAGTACTTCCTTTTGTTTCTTTTAAACCTGCTGCCTATTAATTTCATAGAGTGACCCCTGGTATTTGTCTTATGTGAAGGAGTAAATAACACTTCCTTATTCACTTTCTCCACAGCAGTCACAATTTTATAGACCTTTATTATAGCCCCTCTTAGTCTTCTCTTTTCCATGCTGAAAAATTCCAGTCTTTTTAATCTCTCCTCACATGGAAGTTATTCCATAATCCTGATCAATTTTGTTGCCCTTCTCTGTACCTTTTCTAATTCTAATATATCTTTTTTGAGATGGGGTGACCAGAACTGCACATAGCATTCAAGGTGTGGGCATAGCAGGCATTTATATAGTGGCATTATGATATTTTCTGTCTTATTATCTATCCCTTTCCTAATGGTTCCTAACATTCTGTTCGCTTTTTTGACTGCCACTGCACATTGAGTGGATGTATTCAGAAACCAATCCATAATGAGTCCAAGATCTCTTTCTTGAATGATAACAGCTAATTTAGACCCCATCATTTTGTATGTATAGTTGGGACTATGTTTTCCATTGTGCATTACTTTGCATTTATAAACACTGAATTTCATCTGCCATTGCCCAGTCACCCAGTTTTGTGAGATTCCTTTGTAACTGTTTGCAGGCTGCTTTGGACTTAGCTGACTTGAGTAATTTTGTACTGTCTGCAAATTTTGCCATCTCACTCTTTACTCCTTTTCCCATATCATTTATGAATATGTTGAGCAGTACTGGTCCCAGTACATACACCAGTACATAAACAGGGGACACCACTATTTACCTTTCTCCATTCTGAAAAATTACCATTTATTCCTACCATTTGTTTTCTGTCTTTTAAACAGTTACTGATCTATGAGAGGACCTTCTCTCTTATCCCACGAATGTCTACTTTACTTAATAGCCTTTGGTGAGGGACCTTGTCAAAAGCTTTCTGAAAGTCCAAGATATTTGTCCATTCAAAAATGCCCGTTTATCAAACTCTGCATTTTCTGGAGGAATGTGGAATTCTGCAATTCTGAGGAAATTTTGTTTTTGAAAATAAAAAAAAGCCCATAAAGCACTTTCCATTTCAGCATTTTTATAATGGAATATTTTGATATTTGTCTTAAAATAATTTTCCCTTTCAAAATCTATTTCATTTTATAATGTAAATTTTAACATAAAATAAAAATTTTTAAAATTCAAAATGAAAATGAAATATTTTATCAAAAGGATAGGTCTCAACTAACCCAAAACAATTAAAAAAATAAAATTCATTTCACAGAAGATTTTTAAATTTGACCTTTTCTTCCATTACAGGACAAAACCAAATCTCTAAATGTCAGTATTTGCCATTAAAATGAAAATTAGGCTTCCTGCACAGTTCTAGTTATAAGATGTGAGAGAGATGGCAGTTTTCTGCATTATCCTTGAAAACTTTTATTGCATTAAGTTTAAGTATTTTTGGAATCCATTGTATTATATGCAAAGATTATGTATTATTGTGGGCTGGGATTGCATGTAACCTCTACAGGGGGAAGAGTGAGGTGAACCCTGGGAAGAGTTATGAATTTCAGAGGTCTGTACTGAACAATGTGCCAGATAAGAATGGACTATTGGGACAAACAGGTTCAAGTAGTTTGCCTGGGGAATCTCTAGGGGAAGGTGAATGGAAATTCCCCATCTCTGGTTATGCAAAAATCTAGGTTTTTGAAGCTACAACCAGAGTCAGGGACTCTGTTATCTGTTCCCAGAGATTTAGGATCAAAGCCCCCTACTGTATAAAGAAGATGGATGGATGAGCTAGTTCTTAATTAAGGTTGTTTTGAATTTGTAACCACAGGAAAACTCCTGTGCATTTTGAATGACTGATCACCAACCAAAGCCAGAGGCTGAAGTTGGGGTGACCTCTCGTAAGTTTATTAGCCTATTTGTAAGGTCTTGTTATTGTTTTAAATGTTGTCTCTGTAATGCTTTCACCCTAAGAATAAATGTGCTTGCTTAGAAAGAGCTGTGTGGTAACTTGTGTCTGTGAGCAATTACAGCTGTTCATAGACTCTAAGGAGAAAGCAAAGCACAGATGCTGGCCTATTCAGGCAATCTGGCTTACTGGGAATAACCCAGTGTAGGCAGGGAACTGTGCAATCTACAAAATCTCTGGTCAGGAGGGAGAGAGACATGGGTCTCTGCACAAGCATGTTGATGGCTGAGAAGCTGGGAGCCTAGAGTGCAGGGCTGGCTCCAGGCACCAGCTTACCAAGCAGGTGCTTGGGGCGGCCACTCCCGAGAAGGGCAGCACGTCCAGCTATTCGGCGGCAATTCGGCGGAGGGTCCCTCACTCCTGCTCGGAGTGAAGGACCTCCCACCGAATTGCCGCCACAGATCGCGATCACGGTCTTTTTTTTTTTTTTTTTTTTTTGCCTGCTTGGGGCGGCAAAAACCCTGAAGCCGGCCCTGCTAGAGCGGGTGTCCTCAAGGAATAACGGAGATGACATAAAAGTGCAGTGGCCTTGAACTGTGACATAAGGTACCTAGAGACAGGGGCTTGAAGTGAATGGGAGCCAAAACATGAAGGTCCCTACCCTGCTGCCATTACTCACCTGATCCATGGAGACCAATAGAATTACCCACATGTGTAATGCCAGGAACACTGGGCCCTAAGAACTTTCTTCACAATGGCAATTCATAGTCATTCACGATGGCAATGGAGTGTTAATGGGCCAGGGAAAGAGAGTGGGAGTGACTATAGCCCAGTAGTTAGGATCTAGGAGTCCCAAGTTAAAGTCCCCCATCTAATTGCTATTTAATTATTTATAAGATGTGGAATAGCTACCACAGGAGAGATTGAAGCCACAGCATTCCATAGCCTAGCAGGTATGGTGCCTTCCTTTAACATGGGGGACCCAAGCTTACATCCACAATCCTCAACAAGCAAAGGATGCAACTGAACATAGGTCTCCTACCTCCCTGCTGAGTGCCCTAACCACTAGGCTAAAGCCTACAAGAGAGGCACAAGGACCTCCCCCATCAGCCATTTTGTGACTCTAGTCCTCCTTTCCTTTGTTTTTGTCAGAATGCCTGCACATCTAAACAAAATTTTTCATGTTGAAATGAAACATTTTGGCTTTTTCAATGAAGTTAAAATTCTTCAGCTAACTCAACACAAATTCGCGAATAGTTTCAGTAGACTGGAAACTCCTTTTTTCAACTGTTAAACTATTTGTCGTAAAGTCTCACTCAACTACAGTCACCAATTCTTTTATCAACAAATATTGTCCCTTTCTTCTGCAGCTAGGTGCCTAGTCAAATCCCAGTCACATTGTTCTTCAGGGCTGTTGAGCAGACATTCTTTATTCCTCCTTTCAGAGCTCAGGGCACCAAAAATATTTAATCAAAATATTAAACTTCTGGGAGAAAATAACCTGGGTATAATTCCAGATACAAGGCATTTTACCTGCATTGCTACGAGCCCTCCTGAAGTCTACAACAAAAAAAGAGAATTCAGAATTTCAGCTATAGCATATGGCTTATTTTACATTGAAATAATACAAACTGTGTAATATTAAACATGGTCTTTCAACTCACCCAGCTCAGCCATGGCTTTTTCTGAAATGGAAAAAGATTGTTACATCATGCTTCTTCATTATTCCCTTGTTAATTCTGTTCTGTAGGAAATCTTTACTCCCTAAATGGAATTACTCAAGTAAAATGGACTCAGGTGAGTAAGGGTCAGGGTCTAAGGCCCCAAACCTGCAAAAATCTATATTCATACTTAATTTTAGACACTGTGAGTCCATTGTTTGTTAAATGGAACAACTCAGTGTGTGTTCAAATTTAAGCATGTGTCTAAATCTTTGCAGGATTGGGTCTAAACATTTATCTTTTTGCCATATTAGCTGCAATCGAATATCTACTATGTTATGTTCAATGGCATCCTCATACAAACTAAACTATGCAAAAAAGGTGGCTAAATCTTGAAGTCGGTGCTGCATTTAAACAATGGGAATTTCCCTGAGTGAAAATAACGTAATAAGAGAGTAAGAGTCAGATTTGTAATGATATTAAGCACCTAAAGATGTAGCTAGGTACCTAGTTGGATTTTGAAAAGAGCTTAGGGGTCTAATTCCCTTTGGTTTCAATGAGAGTGAGGCACTTAGGCACCTTGACATTTCTGAAAATCATGCTATCTGCATTTTTACAGAGAAAATACTTTTTTTAAAATCTAGTCCTGGATTCCTTAGGATTTGACCAGCTGACTTGCATGCTTTAAAGTTATCAGCTTTTTTGATGTATGAATGTAGTGTTTTGTTTTGGTTGTTTTGCACTGCATTTCCTTCTTTATGGAAAAAGAGATGAAAAGAGCTATGGGGATTTTTTTCTAAAAGTGTTGCTATAGAAAAGGTTTTGGGGAAGTTCTCTGGCCTACGTGATATAGGAGGTCAGACTAGATGACCACAATGATAGATTCCAAAGCCAAAAGGTATCTGTGAATACAGGGGCAGGAAACAAACCTGAAAAAAAATGACGAAGTTGTGGGCTGGCCACCACCAATGAGCCAGTAGGCTGGGATGTCTCTGTTACCAGGAGGATGCTAAATTAAAGACTAGAGCTGCTTGAAACTATTCCAATGAAACACTTACCAAACTTCTCCTGTATTTCCTGAATTGCTACAAAGAAACAAAATTAAACTGTTAACCAAAAGACAAGAGGAGTCCGCAGATGAGAGCAACTAAACAGAGATTTTTAATATAATCAAAATACGTTCTGGAGGTAGTTTCTGAGAGTGCAGAATGCATTGATCTGCAGGTAGTGACCAAAGTTTGACAGATATTTGGCTTTCACAAACACTTAGGCTATTTCTGTACTCATGGTAGTGAGTACATTCATTTCATGCCCAGCTAGAATGGGTATAAATAGATGTGCGGTCAGTGAGGCACTGTTTAGACGAGTAAAGACACACCAAAACCTTAGGATATAGTCCTTACAGGGCTCTCCTCATGCCCAAGAAGTTCATCCCACGTCTGCACTGCTACTTTTAGCAGTGAAGTTGTAACACCAACAGACCCCGGTCATCACCGGATGGGATCGAACCTGGGACCTCTGCAGCTAAATGCATGAGCCTCTACTACATGAACTAAAAAACACATAGCTGTTAACTAAGGCTGTAGAGCAGCCTCATTAATCTCTCTCTCTAAGTGGTCTCCGTGTCACTCGATGGGACAGAACACCACACCCAGGAGGTGTGTGGATTACATACTTCGCCTAGCTGAGGAAGTGTACCCCGAGCTTCAGAGACTTCCCAGTTGATATCCCAGATGAGCCCCTACTTGTAACACCGTCAGACCCCAGTTGTCAGTAGGCGGGATCAAACCTGGAACCTCTGCAGCTAAATGCATGAGCCTCTAACGCATGAGGTAAAAACCATACAGCTGTTAGCTAAAGCTATAGAGCAGACTCATTAATCTCTCCCTCTCTCTCTAGTGGTCTTGGTGCCGCTAGATAGGACAGAACACCACACCCAGGAGGTGTGTGGGTTACCAAGTGTCCCGCTGCCACTGCTTTTCACTGTGGTGTGTAGCTACACGTACCCAACACACCACTGCCAGCCAGAGGCATAGCGAGCGCCCTCCGTACCCTCCGACCGGAGAGGGCCCCGCAAGGAAGGGGGCCCCTAAAAGTGGCAAAATAAATACCACATTCCAGTTTCTGCATTGTAAGGGACCCCACCCGTACATATGTTCGGAGGGGGCCACCGTTCGGAGGGGGCCACGTTCTTTGTTGCTACGGCCCTGCTGCCAGCATAGACAATACCTTAGTTTTATGAAGGCCAGGAATTAAAACAGTGCAGTTGCAGCAATAATGTCACTCAAAACAAACAGCCACAACTGGATTTTCTGGTATTGTAGAGAAACAACATCACTGAATTACCTGTATTTAGATTAATGAAAACAATAAATCAAGAAGGAACAAAGGTAAAGTCTTCATGTGTGAAGTATAGCATGCTTCTTCTTTGTAACATGCTGAATTTTCCCCAAAATGCCCCCTATCCCTGTATATAAGACTCCTAGAAATTTCAAAACTCTAGCTGCTTCATAGATACAGTAAATTCATTGCATTTATCCCCTTTATTTACAGTTAAGTCCTGGGGCAGAGGTTCTCTGCATTTTTGTCTGCCATGAAGGTGCCTATCAACAGGGCATTTAACTCTTCCTATAGTTGGTCATTTGCTGTCTGAGATTCACCTTCTAAAGAAACAATTTCACCCTCACCATCTTCAAGCCTGAATCATCTTTCTCCCTAGTAGTGATATGGCCACCCCATTTGAAGTCAAGCCCTTTCTTTGTCTCATCCCCCTTCCTTGTCTTGTGGCAGTTGATCAATACATTTCTCTATTAGCTCCACTCTTGCCTTTTCCAGCTATGTCTCTGGTCCTAGTACATTTCTGAGAACATTTCTATTCCATTTTCTTTCTGTCCCATAATATCATACAGGTATAGGCAGAAAACCCTGGCAGACATGTGGAGCTTTATCCTTTTATCCTGTGCTGCTTTTCAGACGTTCTCTTTGTGATATCTGTGCTAAGTCAAATTTAGTTGGTAAGTGACATTTAGTAATGACCCTGCTCGAGATTGGTGCAAAGTGGTTTAGTTATTATTTGGTTCCTGAGAAGCAGAAAATAAAATCTTCAGGTTAAATTTTCATGTTTACTGTGGGTTTCAGATATAGGTGGTAAAAAAGGTTTAAAAAAAGTATAGATTTTTTCCTAATTTTTTTCAAAATATATCTAAACTAAAATGATTTTTTTTATTGTTGAAAATCTCAATTGATCTCAACAGGATTGGTTGAAACCCCCTTCCTCCACCAAATAAATTCTTGATGAACATTTTCATCAGCATTTTTCTTCATAAAACCCACAACATTCTGAAAATGTTATCCCTCTCATATAATTATGTGTGTATAATAACCTTATTTTGTTAGTTTGTAGTGTTGCTGTAGCCGTTCTTATCCCAGAATATTAGAAAGACAATGTGGGTGAGGTAATATCTTTTACTGGACCGACTTCTATTGGTGAGACAAGCTTTTGAGCTTACACAGAGCTCTTGTCTCTTTCACCAACAGAAGAAGGTCCAAAAAAAGTTAGTTACCCATCTTGTATCTATTTTGTTAAAACAGCCAGCTCAAAACAATCATCCATGCCGAAGACTGAAAGAAATCTCTCGAGTTTTAAACATTAACTAGTAAGAGATGGAATTACCTTGTTGAGATTTTTGGTGTTCAGTCTCTGCAAAATAAAGAAACAGAAGAGATAATCTCAAAATAATAGGCAGGGGTTAGATTTTCATTTGCCAGACCCCACACTAAGAAATATGACACTGTGAATATTTTGTCTGAGATTTGCTCAGGTGCCTAAGGAATCTGGACATTCAATTTCTATTAAAATTAAATCAGGCATCCAAACACCACAAGCAGCTTTGAAAGTCGCAGCTTTCAGATTCATAGCTGTATATAGGCCTTTAAGCATGACAATCTCCCCATCTTTTTCTAACATTTGCAAACAATACACACATATGGGGTTTAGCAAGCTTTTGCAGAGAAAAATAAAATAAAATGTTCCTTTAGAAATAGTGTCCTGACAGTTCTCACAGTTTATTTGCTTTTGGTTCCTCTAGCTACACAACCATAGTAGCCACGAACTCCTTTATTCCACCCAGACACACACAGCATCCTCAAACAGCTCAGATCTAGATCCGTTTTGACTCATTTCCCAAACTCGTCATATCTGAATTCATCTAGGTCAAAAGAAGCCAGTGGAACTGCTCAGATCCATCATCTGCTTCCCTTTCCCAGTGCTATAGAGGGAAGCTGCAGTCTCTGAAAACATGGGTTTCAGCCTTTTCTGTGTCCTCTCCCACTCTGTCCTCACTCCTATTATTAGCTAGTAGAGATGGGTGGGAAATCCTGTGAGAATTTTCAAGGTTTTAAAAACTTTCCCATTCTATTGAGTTGAAACCCTAGCCTGATCGAGATTTCACACGCACGCACGCACACACATAGACTCACCCTGAGGTAGCCAATAGCATAGAGGTTAGGGTCCTCTGCTAGGATGCAACAAATGCAGCTTCTAGTCTATGTTCTGCCTACTTCATACCAGATGAGTGCCCTAACCACCAGTCTATTAACAGTGGGATCTCTCTGGGGTTTTGACCAGAAATTGCATCTTGGAGCTGAAAAACTTCTCTCAACTAAAGCTTTGTCAAAACTGATCCAAACTTTTTATAGAAGTGTGTTTCAGTGCATCAGCATTTTCCAATGAAAACTCTTCACTGGAAAACTCCCAACCAGCTCTGTTAACAAGGGGCATGGAAAGAGTCAGAAGATGTGGAGAACTGGAACTGAAGCATTCAGTGATCTGGAGCCTGCAGGTTTGCTACAGAGGCAGCTGCTCCCATGATGAACCTCCTGTAGCTTGTCAGAGGGGATCCCAGACTTGAGGAACCCTGTCAGACTAGGATTTAGCTTCCAGGTTTAACAGTCTGGGGGAGAAATAAGTGATGTTAGGGATGGAGAGGGGCATGGATAAGGCCTTTGGCATTGGGGCTGGGGTACTCAGGTGGTGAGCAAGGTTGAGTACGGTAAAACCCAGCATTGTTCCAGTGCCCTGCTGCACAGCCCAGTTCCCTGGCCCCAGTGGGCAGCTTGGTTTCTAATGGGACAGCCATTTTACTGAGTCACACACATTGTCTTTTTATATAACAAATGTCAGTGGAGATTTTCAATGGGACTTTTACTTCTAAATCCTTTAGGTGGTTTTGAAAACCTCACCTATAATATGTATGGGACTTAAATGTCACAGGCAGGTTATTAGGCTTTAAATCACTATATAAATCCTACAGTTTAAAGGGGAAAGGTGGCTGAGCTGGGTGAGAGCAGGATTAAACCTTTCAAATGAAATCACCAAGCATGAAAAATTCAAACCCAGCTGGAATTTTGGGGGGAAGTTATTAATGCTTGAACAAAGGATTTCATTGGGATTTTCAAAGGCACTTAAGGAGTTAGGTGCCTAATTCCCATTTAAATGCAACAGGTGGTAGAGGTGAGATGCTCAAAAATGCCTATGGTCCAATGGGAGTTAGGAGCCTAAACGCCTTTGAGGATCTGGGCCTGAGCGATTTAGGGGTGCAACTCGCAAGGGAAGTCAGTGGGACTTGTGCTCCTAACTCCCTTGGACCATCTTTGAAAATCCAAGGCTGAGTGTCCAACTCCCTTGGGCTCCTTTGAAAAAAAACTTTGAATGGAACAACTGTCTCACTCTTAACTGCAGCCTCTGTACCATGACATTATAATATTTGGACTTGGACTTGTTGACAGTTCTCCTGGCAAAGCATACACTTACCCAGAGGAGAAAATAATTAGTTGAGCTAAAATACACTCTTACCTAGTTCTTTTTTGAGAAGCCTTGTTTCTGAAAGAAAACATATTTCAGAATTACAGCGGGAAACCCACATTAATATACTCTAGTTCTGAGGCTTTTATCAGATGCCTCCAAACTTTCTATTTAGAACAATGTAAATTAAATATTATGGATCTTTTATTTCCATCTGGACAGGCAGTGGTTGAATTTAATACCGTAAGTCAGATTTTCAGCTGATGTAAATCTGTATAGGTCCAGTGTTGGAGTAAATCAGCACAGCTCCACAATGGAGCTTCACCAGTTTATACTATTTGAGGATCTGATCCCTTAAGAGAAGGGAGACCTTTAGAACATTCAAAACCCTTTGTTCTTTTCCCCCTTGGCAGCTCAATACTGACAACAATCCCAACTCCTGGGACTTGGACTAATGAATTTCTCTTCCAAACCATGTAACATTCAGAAATTTTTATACAGTCATTAGATATGATAGAAAAAATGGATGCCAAAGATAGATAGATAAAAACCAGAGACAGATGTCAGAGCTGGTCTCATGCCAGCAGGTCATATTTGCAAACAATTCCCAAATATTAGGGGTCTGGTTCAATTTGACCATATTTAAAACCTTTCATATTTGTGACTAAGAAAAGCTTCAGAGGTGGCCAGCACCATTAAATCAACTATATGAATTCAGCATCAAACATGTATTTTAACTAATCAAGCTTTTTAGAACACTTTACTTATCAAGTCTGTAAATACAAACAAAACAGTGTGACTTGAGTGGACACAGCTGAAATACTGTATGTCAGACATTCAATGCTAGGTAGAGGACTTTCATAGACTGCCAATTCTTCACTGGGAATATCTGGCAACTGTTTTCACATACAATAAAGCCTCAGTTTTACAACCACCAATTTTATGAATGACTAGTTATACAACCATTTTTCCTGATGGAGAAAAAAAAAAAAATCACATAACAAATGTGATGTCAATGAGGAACAAATCGACTTTCCTTCATATCCTGATGCTTATGTGCCCTGGAAATTTCTTTCCAGTGGTGTGAAGGTCAAATAGAAAGCATTGAAGTACCCCATACTGCAACTTATGCACTGGACCTACTGTCATTTTGACATGTTCTATTTTATTAACTTTTTGATTTTATGAACTCTTCAATCCCCCATTAGTTTGTAAAACGGGGTTTTGCTTTATCAAGTATATTCACAAAAATCAGAACCGGTTGATGAGTAATTCCTTGTTTTTAGCATTTGTCTAATACTATTTTTTAGCCAGATCTGATAGATGTACAGAAATATTATTGAAAGGATACATAACATGTTATAGTTACCATCTTCAATGGCTTTCTTGTCATTTACTGCATAAAGAGAGAAATATATTACAAACCCAGAGATAATGATTAGTGCATTAACAGCTAGTTTCAAAAGATATATAAATATTACATTAAAACAATGTTAAAAGAAAGTTTGGGTTGCAAAATCAAGCACTCAGAACTTAGGAAATTCTGGAATTAAGGCTGCTGGAACAACCTTAATTCAACCTCCTTTGTGCATATGACCTATGAGGAAAGGTTGAAAGAATGGGATGTGTTTAGAGAAGAGAAGGCTGTCAGGGGACATGAGAACAGTCTGTAAAAGGTTGTTATAAAGCGAATGGTGATCAGTTGTTGTCCATATCCACTGAGGGTAGAACAGGAAAGAATTGGCTTAGTTTTCAGAAAGAGAGATTTAGTGTAGATATTAGGAATGACTTTCTAACTCTCATGATAGTTCAGCACTGGAACAGGTCACCAAGGGAGGTTGTGGGACAGGTTAGAGAAACACTTGTCAGGGATGGTTTAAGTAAACTTGATCCTGTCTCAGTATGGTGGGTTGGAATCGATGACCTCTCAAGATCCCTTCCAGGCCTACATTTCTACAATTCTATGCATTATGATACGTTTTGAGGACAACATATAATTTCTGCAAAATTTTTGTTTAGTCAGAAAAAAATGTTTGGACAGAAAAAATTTGACCAACCCTAATGTGGACAACTCCATATTAGAGAGTGTGTCCCATGGAAATCTCTCTTCCCATTCATGGTAGCACAGACTGCATCTCCCATAAACGGTCAAATAATACCCCTGTGGCAACTTCAGGATTGGAAAGTACTATTAGGGAGGTATTTCATGTGTTTTTACCTGTCTTTTAATACAGTTTAGCAGCTAGGAACAAACAGGAGAGTCAGGTAGCCTGTACTCTGTGGACCATCAACAAGTGCCCTGCAACATTAGCAGAATCCAGTTTTGGAACTAATGCTAGAAGTTATTTTAAGACAAATGTTAAACTTTCAGGGCCCACCATTGCAAGCTGAGAATAATCAACAACATAAAAAACGGGTGTAAGAGGAGAATCAACCCCAGGGTTTCTACTGTGCAATTAACTAGTAGTGCTTAATATTTACACAAGACTTGGAGATGAGTAAATATTATATTTATTGGGACTTACCAGCCAGAGCAGTTGTTTCATTATTTTCTGAAAAAGTAATTAAATAAATAAAATGATGATTTTTTAAAAAGGAGACAATTTAACTTCATATTATGGCGCTGTGTGCTTCACAGGGGTCGTATTTGATAAATCACACAGGACTGGAAATGTGTGATTTCTCAAGTAACCATCACACAAGTCAGAGCAGATCCACACTAACAATTAAAACTAGTGCTCAAGAAAAATGGGCAACTCACGACTCCCCGAAGGCACTGATGAATGCAGTAGCTGTTTGGTAAGCTAGGTGAAATCAGTGTTTCCACTCAGCCCATTTCCTACTGCACAAAGCTCTGTTCAATGTCACAAGTTATGAAGAATGGTCGGGATTTACGATATAGTAACAGGTAATACACATGTTGTAGTTTTTTCCTTTCCTACATGTTGTTCGACATCTATGTGCCATAAGACTGTCTGGTCTCATGTATTATCATTGTCTAAGTGTAATAAAAATAAAGTAAAAAACCCAGCATGGTGGTCAAGGTTCTCTACCATTTTGAGATGCTATGAGCCTGGTGATAGAGAGGCTAATCATGCAGAACTCTTACAATTGTTACTACATGAAGGGTTAGATTCACAAAGGGACTTAGGCGCTAACTGCCACTTTAGGCACCTAAAACCCAGAATCAGGCTCCAGTGGGATTCACTAAACCCCTGCTCAGCTGTCCCCAAACCCTGTTGGCACCTAAACTCACTCGGCGCCTAAATTTTTGCAGTCAAACTTCCCTCAGCACCAGGGAAAGATAGACATTCCTCTGCCTACCTCACATGCAGGACCCAATCTGGTAAGCATGTTCAGAGCTCGCCTATTGGATCAGGCCCTCTCACCTGGGATATGGGAGACCCCTTACTAAAGCCCGGCCCTGCCCTTCGCGCCTCCACAACAGGGGGGAATGGGATTTAAACAGGGTTCTGCTACCTCTCAAGTGAATGCCCTAACCAGTGGGCTATGGGAAATCCTGAGATGGGGCACACTCAATCTTTTCCACTGAAGCTGCTCCACTTTGGATAAATAATAATAAAAAAGTCATTGGAGTGGGGGGAACTCATCCTGGGGTCTCCCATCACTCCAGTGAGTATGCGCTACCACCAGGCTACAGAGTCATTCTCATGTTTGCTTTATCTCTCTGGCCCAATGATTCTTTCTTTTTTTAGTCTACAGTGCAAGAGCTTCAACAGGAAAGACTGAGAAAGGCTCACATCACAATATTCTATAGCTCAGTAGTTACGGCATTTACTGGAGAGGTGCCAAATCCCTTATTCCCCATCTGGTGTCAGGGGGGACTTAAACCAGGGCTCTCCAACATCCCACATGAGTACCATAGCCACTGGGCTAAAAGTTACAATGGAGCTCCTCCCTCCAGCTTATTGCTAACATAGCGGAGGCACATGACAGCTAGAAAGAGTTTGGAGCTGAGAATGATAAGCAGAGATAGGTGCCTCCCTGAAGCCTGTATTTAGGCATTTATCTCCAAGTGAAGGGCAGGGCTCAGCACACACCCCTTGGCATGGCACCACCCACCGGCTGATTTAGGTGAAGATATGTGCAGAGGGCTGGCTTGTGTGAATCCCATTCTGAGGTGCCTGCCTCTCTCCATTCACTATACAGGGAGCCTGGGCACCTCACACATGCTTTGATAATACCATTGATTATCCAAGCACCTGAAAGTTAGAGGTTGCGAGCGTCCCCTCGCCTGTTTCTTTGTGAATCTAGCCCGAACAGCCTCACTGAGCAATTTTGGATGGTTTGCATGGGGCACAGGCTGTACATGGGAATGAGTCACATCTTCTACCCAAGTTCTTTCATATCACAATGTTTAGACTCTTTAGTGTTTTCTGAAATAACATGAATAGGAAAACTTACTTTTCAGCTTATAAATCGCAGCGCTAACCAGGGCTATGCTAATCAGCAGTATCACAATGAAGGCCGTCATCCATGGGGAGGTGGCAGGGAAGAAAACATCTGCAAAACAGTTCATAGTGTCCATTATTCTTTCATGTCATTCAGCTTTCCTTTCAAAAATGACAAAACTAAATTAAATCTTCATGAGAAGCAGGTGAGATATGAGTCGACAGTGTGCCCTTGTTGCCAAGAAGGCTAATGGCATTTTGGGCTGTATAAGTAGGGGCATTGCCAGCAGATCGAGTGACGTGATCATTCCCCTCTATTCGACATTGGTGAGGCCTCATCTGGAGTACTGTGTCAAGTTTTGGGTCCTGCACTACAAGAAGGATGTGGAAAAATTGGAAAGAGTCTAGCAGAGGGCAACAAAAATGATTAGGTGGCTGGAGCACATGAGTTATGAGGAGAGGCTGAGGAAACTGAGATTGTTTAGTCTGCCGAAGAGAAGAACAAGGGGGGATTTGATAGCTGCTTTCAACTACCTGAAAGGGGGATGGATCTAGACTGTTCTCAGTGGTACCAGATGACAGAACAAGGAGTAATGGTCTCAAGTTGCAGTGGGGGAGGTTTAGGTTGGATATTAGGAAAAACTTTTTCACTAGGAGGGTGGTGAAGCACTGGAATGGGTTACCTAGAGAGGTGGTAGAATCTCCTTCCTTAGAGGTTTTTAAGGTCAGGCTTGACAAAGCCCTGGCTGGGATGATTTAGTTGGGAATTGGTCCTGCTTTGAGCAGGGGGTTGGACTAGATGACCTCCTGAGGTCCCTTCCAACCCTGATTCTATGAGATCTGAACTCTCTCTAGGACATATTGAAGGCACTGTCTTATGCATGAAGGGGTGGATTTTCATCAAAAGGCTATACAGTTTCCCCGTGATATTGTGAATAGTTGCTATAGGTCCCAGACCCATTCCTCCTGAGAGTAAGAAACACATACATCAATGTATTATCCGGGTAGATTCATGCATTCCAGAGAAACAGAGGGTGCCTTAATGAAGGCCTCTAATAACATCCAGAGGTAAGTTATAAACACTCAAGGTGGGACCTTCAAAAGCATTCAGTATTGGCCTAACTCTGTCCCAGTTGAAGTCACTGGTAGAACTCCCATTGATCTGAATGGGAGGAGAGTTATATCAGTACGGAGCTTGTTCTTGGAAAAAAACATCTCCAAGGCCTTAACCATCAGCCATGGAAGGCAATGAAAGTCTTTCCATTGACTTCAGTGTGCAATGGATTTGGTCTTTAGGATGAGATTTTCAAATGTGTCCAAGAAATTTAGGACCACTCCTCCCTTTGAAAGTACATGCCTTGCTCCTAACACCCGGAGGCACATTTGAAAATCCCATGATGAGATATTATGCTGATGGTCAAGAGAGAGATTAGACCACTCTCTCTGGAACATTCTCACACCAGCATCAACATCCTGGACACAACAATCACCTTCAACAATGGAACCCTACAGACAACTATATACAAGAAACACATGGATCACAACACCTACCTCGACAGGTTCAGTAAACACCCCAAACACACCAAGAAATCTGCTATTTACAGCCAGACATTCAGATAGCACAGAATATGTTCTGAGGAGAAAGCCTGAGGTACACACCTTAACACACTTAAATCTGCCTTCACTAAACAAGGACACTCCACTAGAGAAGTACATCACCTCATGGAACAGGCCACCCAAATACCCTGAGAGAACCTGGTTCGATATGGAAAAAACCCTTTGACCACACCCACTGTCACCTACCAGCCCACACTGGAACCCATATGGGATATCTTTAAATAGTTACAACCCATACTCAATGGGAACATCATCCTGAATGAAATCTTTCCTGAATCCTCACTTTTTGCCTTGAAACAAACCTCCCAATCTCACCAAGTTCATCAACAGAAGCAAGCTCCCCACAGACCTGGACACCAACTTAAAGCGGTACCAGATCCTGCGAAAACAACAGATGAAAACTTGCAGACATATCGCCACTGCTAGATGATCAATACCCATCACAACACACCTTTCAAGATCCATGGGTCCCAGACATGCTTTTGTGGTGTACCTCATCCAGTGCACTAAATGCCCCAATAACAACTATGTAGGTGAAATGAGACAATCACCATGCTCTCAAAGAACTCACTCAGAAAAATCGTAAAAGACGAGAACACCATTTCACCCATGGGCAAACACTTGTCACAAAACAATCACTCCATATCTGACGTCTCAGTCCTCATCCTCAGGGGAAACCTGCACAACACCTGCAAAAGACAAGCCTGGGAGTTTAAATTCATAACTTTGCTAAACTCTACAAATCATGGACTCAATAAAGACACTGGATTTATGGCTTATTACAACAATCTGTAACCCACTAACCCTCTTTCATCCTATGACTACAGAGGTGCAAACTACCCATGTTACCTTGAATGATCTCTTGCAACATGTGTTAACTCCATATGCTAAACAATCTGTTCCACATTGTTTTTAGCTGAGACACTCTGAGTACCTTTTGGACCTCTGTGTAAGCTCCAAATCTTTTCTTTTTTACCAACAGAAGTTGGACCCATAAAAGTTATTACCTTGCCCACCTGGTCTCAGAGAGAGAGAGAGAGAGAGATGGCATTCTCCATCAGTCTGTTAAATAGTGAAATTGTCAAAAGACACTGCTGCTCACTGGTGGAGTTAATTTCTACCAAGCAACTCCACACATAGGACGAGTTATTGTTAGATTTATTAATAATAATACTTCAAATAATTTCACTTTTTACCTATAGATACTTGTAAGTAGTGGTTCTGTGTAAAAAAAAAAAAAAAAAAAGAAGGAAAAGATCAATGAAGATGATTTCTGGGGGAGTTGGGAATTGTGTTCATCTAAAAGATTTGGAATCATTTTGAGACAACCTGTGTTTTTTCCTCCTGGGAGACACTGATACAAGTTCTCATTTACCTGCAATTACAACTGTAGATTCGTTTGAGGTCTTTAGCACGTTATCAATTACGTTGCAGGAGATGGCATTGTCAGATCCTGATTTCAGAAGGATCGAACTTTTGGCACGAGCCTCATCTGTGTCGGAGGTTGGGGTGATTGGACTTCCAGTAAGATTGTGTCCTTTACTGTCTGTCCAGAACAATTGCACATCAGAAAACTTCGTCTCAGAAAAACAGGTGACTCTGATTCCATTGTCCTCATAATTGTCCAGGACAATCAATGGTTCATGGCTGTTCCCTATAAAGATAAGAGACACATAATTTGTTATGGGGTCTGTGCACTTCCCGTGGTTTGTCTATGTCCCTCTCTGCAGCTACAGTTTGTGAAGAAGTTTTGGAATTATGTGGTCCTGACTAGGCTGCATAGTCATGATTCCAACCTAGATTCAATTGTGGGCCTTTTGATATGCACCTCTATCCCTAAATTTGGTTAGGAAAATTGGCCTGGCCTGAAAATGGCAAACTCCACTCTGAAAGTGAAGGAGGATAGCTCTCCATAGTCTGCACAAAACTGGTCAAACTGTATTTCAAATAAAGGCCATTGAAGACTATGCGGACTTCAAATGACCATCAATGTCTTACATCTCTCTGGCTCTCTCTAGCTTCAAAATGACTTGTTACTAGAGCTGGGTAGAAAAGGATTTTCCCATCCTGGGAAATGTTTAGCAGTCTGAACTTATTTTCTCTGCTAGAAATGGGGAAAAATAATATTCATGGGGGCGGGGGAATGAAAATGTTTCATTTTGATCATTTTCAAATGTTTTATTTCGATTTCATGCAATCGTTGTAGCTGTTTCAGTCCCAGGATATTAGAGAGACAAGATGGGTGAGGTAATATCTTTAATGGATCCAATTATACTGGTGAAAGGGACAAGCTATCAAGCTTACACAACTCTTCTTCACATCTGGGAAAGGTACTGAAGGTGAGTACTTCTGTTGATGAGAGAGACCTGAAAAAGAGCTCTGTGTGACTTGAAAGTTTGTCTCTCTCACCAACAGAAGTTATTAATAAAAAGATATTACCTCCTTGTCTCTTGCTTTGATTGTGACTTTTTTGAGGGTGGAGTAAAATTTTTGTTAGTCTAATGAGGCTTTCATTTCTAAACAATAAAGTGATTTTGAATCAGAAAACTAGAATTTTTCATTTTGAATATGTCAAAATGAAACATTTTTCACAATTTCAAAACTTTTTTCTGTACATTTTTTTGAATTGGTAAATTCATTTAAGCTGGTTCTTGAACAATTTGAGTTTTGATGAATAAGTACTTTTAAGCAATAACAACAAAGTTTCATCAAAAAATGCCCAATGAGCTCTACTTATTACTACCTTTCTAACTTTCCATATATGTCAGTGTCCTTGAAAATAAAATACAGGGCTGCATTTGAAGAAAATAATGTGTAAATAAACAAAGTTAGTGACTGTTGTATCTAGATATGTGTGCATATGAGAGAGAAAGAAAGAAAGAGAGCATGTGTCTTTCTAATTGCTAGTTGAGGATTAGAGAAAATATAAAGGTGCATGCAAGCTATAGCAATCCTTTTTTCAGCTTACGTGACTCCTCCTAGCCAGTTGGGCTCCATCTCATATACTTCTTTCCACTTCTTGGAAAGGAGAGGAGCAAAGGGCTCAGAGATTCAGGAGAAGTATCTCTTACACATACCCTGGACCACTAACCAGTTGGTAACCACTTGGTCTGCAGCACATTGCCTGAGAGGCTGGGCCAGTGCAACCCATTAGGCGACCTAGGTGGTCACCTAGGGTGCTAGCATTTGGGGGGCGGCATTTTCTTTGGTGGCGACCGCGGTGGCTGGAACTTCGGCCGCCCCGGTCGTCGTTGCCATTTCGGCGGAGGGAGCTGGGGCAGGGGAGCGCGGGGAGGGCCGCCTGCAGCAAGTAAGTGGGGGCGGCATGCAGGGGAACCGCTCCCGGCCCTAGCTCATCTCTGCTCTGCCTCCTCCCCTGAGCACGCCGCCCCGCTCTGCTTCTCTCCCTCCCAGACTTGCGGCGCCAAACAACTGATTGGCACCGCAAGCCTGGGAGGCAGGAGAAGTGGAGCAGTGACGGCATGCTCGGGGAGGAGGCGGAGCAGAGGTGAACTGGGGTGGGGAGCTGCCGCATGGCTCCCTGGGGCGGGGGGGGAGCGTTCCGATGGGGGGTGCGCCTCAGGACAGGCGGGGGGGTGGAAGCTA